AATGGTGTTGGAGTCAGGATTCCAGCTAAACCTGGCTTGGTGAGGAATTGCAGAAGGCAGGGGCTTGGAGAAAAGAAAACAGTCTTCTCTTTTCACAGCACTGCTCCCTTCTCTTCTACACCTCCCCTTGCCTATTTCCTCCTCCCCTCCTCACACCCTTCTCCCCCTCAGCAAGACTCAGGCTCTGCCCCACCTTTTTCAGAAACCACTTTTGTTCCCACAGCCTCCTTGACCCAACACAGAACTCTTGGCACAGGTGGGCCACTGTGGGCAAGAGTCCCCTCGGGCACCTGCTGCCCCACCAGGCCGTTAAAAAGGCTGGTTAATAGCAGCTGATAATGTGGGGGCACCTATGCCCAACCTAGGATCAGCTCCAATTTCTCTTTTCCACTCTGCCTTCTTTGACCAGTCCCTAGGAATTCTTTTTTATTTTCTTTTACGTTTTCCTTTTTGTCTTTTTAAAAAATATTCATCACTACATTTTTGAGGATAGGAATTTTTCAGTATTACTTTTTTTCTACATTTCATCACATCCAAAAACCAGACTCCCCCCCCAAATTACCTGGACAGAGGTCAAAGAAGACAGAAGATTTCCATTTGGTGAGGAATTTGCAAGAATAACCTCTCTCTTACAGCTCAGTCTTTTTTTTTTTTTTTTGAGACAGAGCCTCAAGCTATCCACCTGGGTAGAGTGTCGTGGCATTACAGCTCACAGCAACCTCCAACTCCTGGGCTCAAGCGAGTCTCCTGCCTCTGCCTCCCAAGTAGCTGGGACTACAGGCGCCTGCCACAACGCCCGGCCATTTTTTGGTTCCAGCCGTCATTGTTGTTTGGCGAGTCCGGGCTGGGGATTCGAACCCGCCACCTTAGGTGTACGTGGCTGGCGCCTTAGCCGGTTGAGCTATAGGCGCTAAGCCTGGACTAGAGTTTTGATGAGCCCTTTGGATAAGAAGATTGAAGAGCAAGAAGGGAAAAAAGAAAAGAAAAGAAAAAAGAGAAAAGAGAGGGGATGGGTAAAAGGGAATATTGACAAAAATAAGAGAGGCACAGAAAGAGGGAGACAGGAGCAATATAGGTGTAAAGTAGGTTACTTTTACCCAACCTTAACAAACCCCCAACCTCTGGGGATGCTGGGTTGGTTGGTTCCCTTGAGGTCAGCAACACCTTGCTAGGCTGTTTGGACATAGTATCCCACCTCCACCAAGTAGAGAGGAAAGACAAAAATGCTATAAATCAAACCAAAACAAGCAAACAGAAAACTGTATGGGATAAAATGGGGGGAAAAAAACCAAATAATAGGGGTAGAAATACTAGCAAAAATTAAGTTCTAATTGTTGAAAAATTTTCCATACAATGGAAAATTATATTTAAACTAGAAAAATGAAGAAAGAAAAGAAAGAAAAAAAAGAAAAGAAAAATCTATAGGGAAAATGTTAAAATTAAAAAAACAAAAACAAAACAAAAACAAAAAACAAAACTGAAAAGAAAGCATTATATATATCTTGCTGAATATTGTTTGGGCAACAGATGATCTTCTAGGGTATGAGGTGTTAATCACAATGCTGATATGGCTGTATGAGATGGTGACTGGAGGTGTCTGCTGATTTCTCAAACCCCGCAGGGTGGAGAGCCTAAATTTCTCCTCAGCCCACTTAAAAGACACTTTAAACTGCTAACCTTGGCTAAGCAGAAGCTTTCCCAGGAAAGCACTTGTCACGGGGATCACTCATGAAGTGTCTGTCCACTTACCCAGTGTGCCAAAACTGGTCTCATTCTATGCCCCTGAGGGCTAAGGCTGCAAGGTGTCTCAGTCCCCACCTTTAGGCTGCTCAGTCACTAGATTACTCGGTATCACCCAATCCTTGCTCTGCGACCCTGAGGGCGGATCTTGCTGGGGCAGTTCTCCCACAATGGCTCCAGGTGGCCCACAGCCTAACACTATTAGCTCCGTCTGGCTCAGTGGCTCAGTCTGGGGCCCTAGACAATGCTTAAAGTCCTCTGCACTCTTGCCCAAGTTCTCCCAAGGTAGTTCAATTGAGTGCCAAGTCCAAAAAAATCCAAAACAGCTCACAGGTAAGGCCTTTCCAGTTTGCAATCTCACTGCTGCTGTACTTACAGCTGCCAGCAGGATTAGACCAAACAAACACACACGAACACTTGCCAGTTCTCCACTGCTTTTGTCCTCCTCATGGGGTCCAGAAGTCCCACACTGATTCCCTGTGTCCCCAAAGGGATGTTTCTGGGAAGATCCCACCAGCCAGAGATGCCTGGAGTCTTCTTTCCCCAGGTTCACTGTGCCCAGTTGCAAGAAAGCTGTTACTCGGCCACCATCTTGCTCCAGACTCCTCTCTCTCTCTCTCTCTTTAATACCTTGGAATATTTTGTGTAAGAATGGAATTATCTGTTCCTTCAACATTTGAGAAAGCTTGCCATTGAAACAATTTGGGCCCAGTGTTTTCTTTGTAAGGAGATACTAAGCCACCATGGGAGGTATGGTCTATAATTGGGGTTCCACACTCTGGAGTCCTGTTATAACTCAACATTTCTGAGAGAGAGGATACACATGGGCTAATGAACATGGCCTTCCCCTTTCCAAGATCCATTTGGCTGACACCATTACTGAGTGTTCACCTTGTTGCCAACAGGTACCAAAGCACAGTTCTCAAGATAACAGCCTTCCCCACAGAAACCAGGCAAAATATGGCGGCTCATAGGAACACACACAATTCCAAACTTGAATGTTCCTTACCTGACCACAAAGTTTATGTTAGCATCACCATTCATGGACTCAGAGAATGCCTTATTTATTATTGCTATAAAACACTGCCTCTAAACAAGGAAGTCGACAATGATAAGCAAAGGAACCCATCTTACCTCAACGGTATGCCACAGAGGTATAGCAATGACCTCAAGGCCATCACATTTGCTGTTTTTACCCTGTGACCCTCACTCAGAATCAGCTGGCTTCACAGAATGATGGCATGGTCTTCTGCAGCCGTAGCTTCAGCCCCAGTTGGGAGACAGCAGCTACATGGCTGGGGTTCTTCCCTGTGGGGGTTGCATATACCAATACACTGCTCTGAACCAAGGGGTGACAGTGGGTTCGAGTGGACTTTTTCACCAGCCAGGTCACTTTGGGCCCAGTCAGTTTGGAGGTTCTATACCCAAACATAGTCCTGATTAAATTGTAAGTCAAAGCTTTTTCAGAAAATTAAATTGTAAGTCAAAGCTTTTTCAGAAAATCCGGGACAATGTAGAAAAACTGTCCCTCTCCACAAACTGAGAGGGTTCCAAGAGACCAAAGAATGACTCTGACAAGTCTGGCTTGCCAATTTAGATGGATTTATTAGAGGTTGCTTATTTGGTTGCTTGCTCCTAGGCAGCACAGGAACTTCTTCCACAGTGCTTTCTTGCATGCAAAATCCATGCCCACCCTGTGGTATTGCCTTAAATCCCTTCCCAGTGAGTCACGCGCAGGTTTTACATTGTTTCCTAGTAGAGAAACAAAATCAGATTGCACAGTACCATCATCGTGCCTCATCAACCCATGTTATGTTAATGATATAATGACAATTCTCCACTAGGTGAGGATTTTAGTATTACAATTAGCTATAGGACACCACAGGGCAGCTCTGGCAGTTCTAAAGCAGTCAAGGCCAGTTTGTGCCATTTCAAGGTGAAAAAGTGCCCAAGAAATGCTGGGCATTTCCCCATGCCCAGGGCTTATACTTCCTTTCCAGGGCTCTTTTGTTGGTGTTGTTTGGCTCTTTTCTGGCATGGACCATTTCTCAGAGAAGGCTGGTGCCAATCCAGTACTCCTTTTGTTATAAGTGAGTCAGGTTTTTTTTTTTT